TAGCTATTATAACCTTACGGGGCAGGCCCTAATTTTAATTATATATATTAGGTCGTAATAAATAGCTAACCGACGCAGATTTACTTAACCGTTTTATTAATTAATCTTTTAATAGACTTCGAGAGAGGCTTATAATCGGGTCTCTACTTAGTAGCGGATCCGGGCTTAGTATCGGGATCGACGTTATTAATAAACGTAATACTAAGCTCGCGGCTAAAATCTAAAGCTTGCTTTGTTATAAAATTAATAAAAAACTCGTTTCGGGATACTAGAGCGAAGGCGAGAAGGCGCTCAGGCCTATCTACGATATTGCTAGTGTCGGGATCTAGAGGAAACCTATGTTTTAATTAGGATTAGTCAATTAGACTGACGCTTAGCTATCGGCCAGGCTCACCGGAGCAACTGAGGTATCGCTTAATAGTTTCGTTAAGGAACCTGACTTCGGCCCCGACTCTAGATAGGGAGTGGAAGATCGCATCCTCCACTAGAAAATCCGACGCAAGCGAGTTGGTCATCGATGAGTGCTGCAAGCGATTCAGCAATCTCTTGACGCGCTCAAGAAGGATGGGAAGGACATCCATCCTGTCTATCAGCCCATCGCATTCCTTCCATGACGACATGGCTGTAGCGGCTTCGCAGTCCATGGGCACTTTCTATTAGGAAGAAGCACGGATTAACTACGCATGGACGAGGGAGGGTCTGATGCTGCACTACAAGGTATAGAGACAATAAACAAAAAGGCCGAACTCATATGAAACTCTATGTTAGTAATAGCCTTCCATATCAATCCCTCGTCTTGCTTATTCCTCGCGGCGCTTATGTTCGTCTAATAACAAAGGCTTCTGCATACTTGGTAAGCGCCGCCGTTTGATAGGATAGGGCTGATGCTGCCTCGTAGGTATCCCTTCTCTTAGGACCAGCTACTTTGTGTTGCTGTCTCTCTCTATCGACTGTGTGTGTCAGCTACTGGCATCGCAACAAGCCAGAATCCCGGGATCAAAAAGCAAACAGCTCCACCAGTTATGGAAACGGATTCGAGATTAGAGCAGTCTTCCCCGCCTCCAGGCACATGAGGAAATGCATCCACCTCACTATCGAATCGTTGGTGGTCACTAGCACCTGCTACGCCTCGGCTCATGAACTGGTCCCGTGTTCAAGGGGACGAGTAGAGCTTTTGCGCCCGTTCTGGCAGTTCCGGCGTCATGCGAGGTAAAAACCATAGCTTGTAAAGATAGTTGCCCCACTTCAAAGCTAGATATGTACTGATGATAGCTTCAACGCCGTGTTCAGGTTTGTGCCACGACCAGTACTTCCATGCTGAATATCTGCTCAAGTTTAATTTGGCTTGGTTTCATCACGATTCACTCTAGTTCTAAGGTAACATGGAGATAGTGCAATGCGGTGGGTGTTTAGGACAAATGCTGCGCTGATGTAAATACATTTGAGGATGAATCGAAGAAGATTGTGAATCACTTCTTTGAGAGATTTCGGGGCCAACCGACATGCAAAACCTCCCGTTGCGGTGCCACAACCGATGTGCCACACCCAGACTGCGGGCGGCAAATCCTTGCGTCTTCGATCGTTTAGCAACAACGAAAATGTAATCTTGCCGCAAGACGTCGTAGTGCCGCTGCCTGGTAATCCAGGAGCAGACGCTGCTATGCGTCTAGAAGTCAAGGCCGAAAACACTACGCATTATACGTTTCTAGCAGGATAAGTTGGCAGGACAGGTTGGCACCGGAGACCAGGAAGACGACATCGACATGACACTCACAGGGCATTTCTTGGCAAGCCTTGTGAGTGGCGGCTACACCGGCACCGTGGTTGGGGTCTACGGGACCACGAATGGTCGGGTCACAGAAGACACTTCTGTAGCATACGTCAACCGATGGAGATATTATGGTAAAGGGCAATACATTGATCGCAACGAGTCTATTTAGTCAAGAAAATGTAACTATGCTTCGAATAGCCGGATATCCTGTCTGGGCAGAAAGGCCTTAGTTTTCATCTATTCATCCTCCCATAGCCTTCCTAACCGCATCGTCAGACACCTCACTTTGACCCGCCGTCAACCGCGCAAACAGCTCCGGTCCAGCCTGCTCTCCGGTGGTCCGCACAGTGTAGTCCTTCTCATCAATCACCTGATCCCAAGAATCCCTTATCAACTCAATCGTCCAATCTTCACCAGCAGAACCTTGAAATCCGCGCGTTTCCGCCACGTAGATTCGCGAAACAATCTTGCCCGCTGCAGAAAAGACTTCTCCGCTGGCCTTGAAGTCTTCGTGAGCCAACCAAAGGACAGTAGGAGCAACATCTGCGGCTGGCAAAACATTTTTCATGAGCGACAACAAGCCTTCGTCCTTGATGCCAGCTTGCACCCCAGGTGAATATCCTGAAACGGCGATTGAGTTGACCAGAATGTTGTGCTCTTTTCCTTCTGTTGAGAGGGACTTAGCGAAGCCCATAACGCCCATTTTAGCACCACCATAAGCGGTGGTATTCGGCATGCCGAGCATGGTGTGTGAGACAATCATGACAATGCGTCCGTACTTTTGCTTCTTCAGATGCGGCCACGCTGCATGGGTAACATTGAACGACCCGCCGACGTGCGAATCGAACATGTCAAGTAACTCCTTGTGGGTGATGGCTTCGAAGGGCTTGGATTCCATCCAACCGGCGTTGTTGATGACGATGTCAATTCGGCCATAGGTCTTGATTGCTGCGTCAACGATACCTTGAGCATCGGATGGGTTGGTGACATTGCCGACGAAGGGTACTGCCTTCCCGCCAGCGTTGATGATGTCACTGACTGTTTCCTGCGTTGTGGCGGACGTGCGACTGTTGACAATGACGGAGGCGCCGAGGCGAGCTAGGAGAAAGGCATATCCGCGTCCGAGCCCAGAGCCAGAACCGGTCACAATTGCGACTCGGCCATCGAATCGAATGGGGTTTGCTGACGGCATAGTGGGAGGTGGAGACTGATGTATTGATGTATTGTGGTAAAGTAGGTAAGATGTGGGTGAAGTCGATTCTGTGTTACAATCAGCAGAATTACCTGATAGGTTTCCTATATGTATATACTATTGTTGTTTTGCGGAAGCAAAATGCTCCCTTACTACCGTGTTCTACTCTCCACTATGACTTGGACTCGAGGACATTTCTTTTCAGTCATACAGGCTTCTTGGCTACCAAGTCAGATCTGGGAAGACGGGTAGACTTCGGAGTCCGAATAGAGCAAATGGAAGATTTGGGCGGGAATACCAAGAGGTTCAAAACACCGCTGGCTACCGGCGTTAGGGATCCATGAGCTCTTATCTCCAGACTACACGTCTGCCTCATCACAGCCCCTCAGTTGGATATTGAAATCGCTTATGAGACTTAAAATGGGACCTAGATTGATAAAAGGAAGCACACTATAGTAGTTTTCCTAAGAGAGCTAACATTACCCCCACAGTACATCTTTGCTTCTCTACCTTCTGAAATGACCAGTTAATCAACTGAATTCAGCTACTTTACCACGAAACCCAACGTCAATGTTTGGGATGAGAACAGCAGTCACAGCAAAACAATTGTAAAGGCTATTAATTTTGCTCTCAGTCAGCCTGGAGCTCAGAAAGCATTCTTATTCCAGGAACTCCGAAATCCTCATCATGTGTGGATATGCCTAGACTGAGATTCGCAGGAAGACCATATAATCTACATGACGACGCAGTAAGTGATGACTATTTCCCCCCACTTTCAATTCTCATTTGCAAAGAATCATGATCAAGTTTTGCCTAGTACAGACCTCTAAAGATGACGCTAAAAATATGCTAGGGGTCATTAAAATTTAGCTACTCTTGGAAACACAATCGATTTCACGCAGGGCTCTATCGCAAATATTGTTGGAAGCCGAGGTCGTCTCACGGCCTCTATTGACGACGGCAAATCTGTCACCGAAACTCTCAGGGCATTCTTCCCATCCGATATTCAGTCCTCCGAGAAAGAAACAGCGTCACTGATATTAAAGGCCTTCTTTGAAGATACTCTAAAAACTTCCGAGAAAGAAACAGCGTCACTGATATTAAAGGCCTTCTTTGAAGATACTCTAAAAACTTCCATGAGGTCAAGAACATCAGCTATGGCTGGAGTGTTGAGACTGAGATACCTATCACTGGAGCAGAGGGGGAAACAGGTGTAATGCTGGTGGCGCTAATCTCCTGGTCAAATGTTGACGCCTTTTGGAAGGCTCTTGGTATTACGGCGTCCCAGGACGGCAAACGGATTCCTGAAGACATACCTGGTTTGATTATGTACGATACATTTCTCGCGAAAGCTAAGGCATGTATGGTGCCCGGGGGTGATGAAGTGTGAGGTTTACACTGGGGTTGCCCAGATCACGTAGCTGTTATGGGCCAGACTTGACCGCGGAGGCACTGGGAGTGTTGTAAGGAGCTGCAGAGTGAGACGAACAGCGTTTGATCAACCGGCAGCTTGACTTGTTTTTAGTCCAGCGGCTTTAGGCCCCTCATCTCTCCCTGGAGGGGTACAGAAAGCGCTGAGCTCAAGTATCTAGAAGCTGAGCTGCAGCAAGCTTCACTCAGCGGATCGATAGACGTCGCACTATTGAGAGTTCGGTGACAACCATCATCCCAATAAATCAAACTCCGGAACGCCTCCGAGATCTCTGCTTAGAAAGTCAAACTCCAAGTGCTCCATTGCCCAGGGACAAGTGATATCAAATAGATCAGAGGCTATGCTTGAGCCGACCGCTTCTTTCGGGTGGGATTCGCCGTACTTCGGCAAAGCCCAGGCAGTAACCGGCAAACCTCACTGGGAAGTCAGGCTACGCGTGAAAACACGCGATCTACGGCGGCTCATGCAAGAAGGTTTCCACTGGGACATGAGCAACTTCGATTTCCAGGCCACATACACTCGGATATATCTTGGTGGCGAGAAGCCGTCTCTGTTTAAGAGGGGATATACATGCAGGCGTAACTTTTTCTTATCCGACCTAGGAGATAAGCCTTACTGGACAGCGAAGTTGACTGTGTTCGCTCGGGAGATTAACGTCTTGAACGATTTTAAACTCGCGGATATCACGCCGAAGAATATAAGTTGCATATATACTTTTGTAAAAGCCACGCAAACGTCTACTTAGGGGACGCCTAAGGCCATTAGAGAGTTATAGCGAATATAATTATAAAGTATAGTATCGTAAACTTAAACACTTATAACTTTATCGGGACTAGCTTTATAATAGGCCCGATATTACCTCTTTATTTAATCTTTAAAGTCCGGTTTCTTACGTAATTAGATTATCGTAACGTCTAAAAATAAATAGATAATAAATAAAAGAGGCTTAAATCAAGCTTAAAAGTTTTAAAAAAAGTATATAAAACCGGATATAAAGGGTTAATATTACTTTTTTATTATTAATAAATATAAAGCTATTATTTTAGGGATTTCGAGTTTTTTTATAAAAAGAATAATATTATAACTATTACGACCTAATATATATAACTAAAACTAGAGCCTGCCCCGTAGGCTTATAGTAGCTATAATATTATTATAACTTAATATATATAACTAAGACCAGGGCCCGCCCCGCAGGCCTATAGCGGCTACGGTATACTATATATATATTAAATAAAATAAATATATTATTTAAAAAAAATAGAAGAACTATAGAATAAGTTATATATAAATAAAAAGGTAATTAAATAATAAAATAATTTTAATAATTACTCTAAATAAGCGCTTACTAAGATTTATTTAATAATTTTTAATAATAAAATATATATAAGATAAAGAATATATTTAAAAACGAGACTTATATATAGTATAGACTTAAACTAGGTTTAAGGATAGACTTTTTATAGCTTTTTTAGTAATTAACTTAATATTAAATCTTACGATCGCTTTTAGCTATTTTTATTAAAAACCCCTTTTAATAAAACTATAATTAATTATTAAAGCTTTATTAACTTTATAATTTATAGATATAGCTTTAAAAAAGCTATTTATAATTATAATACTATTTATTTAGTTTTTATAGCCTTAATTTCTATTAATATATTTATTATAATTAGTTAGCCGTAATAAATACGATATATATATATATATATATAAAGATTTTAATATAATAATTACCCTAATAGAATAAAAGAATATAAATAAATTATATAATAATAAAAAGAACTAACGTATATAATAAGCGAGTGTCGTAGATAAGCGAGTATTACACTTCCTTATCGTATATTAAAAGCCAGGTTTTTAACTATTTATTAAAAGTCGACTATATATTTAAAATATATATAAGTTTAATATTAGTTTTTAATAAGGGTTATATTATTAAAAAAAATATCATTTAAATTATTAGAAGTTTTAAAAACTTTATATAGAGATTTAATCTTATCGGAGACCCACTTTTACTTAATCTTAGCTTTTATATATAATAAAGCTATGTATTATTTTTTAAAACATTTTATGTTATAATATAACCCTTATTAATAACTATATACTAATTTTTATTTTTTTAAAATATATAACCGATTTTTAATAAATAGTTAAAAAATTGGCTTTTAAAATATAATAAAGAAGCACGACACTCGCTTATCTACAACACTCGCTTATTATATACGTTAGCTTTTTTTAATAATCAACTTAATATTAAATTTTATAATCACTTTTAGCTATTTTTATTAAAAACCCTCTTAAATAAAACTATACTTAATTATTAAAGCTTTATTTACCTTATAATTTATAAATATATCTTTAAAAAGCTATATATAATTATGATTTATTTCTTTAATATTATAGCCTTAATTGCTATTAATATATTTACTAGAATTAACTAGCTATAATAGTTTATTAAAGGAATACTATTACGACCTAACGCGTATAACAAGGCCGGGGCCTACCCTATAGAACTTATAGCGGCTATTATACTATATATATAGACATAACAGACTTAGAATAACTCCTCTTAGGGTAAAAGAACTAGGGGATAAATTATATAACTACGATTATATAATAAAATAAAGAACGGACGTCTATAAATAAATAAGACGGACGATTATAAATAAATAGAACGGATATTACGACTTAATATATATTATAAAGCTAAGGCCTACCCTATAGGACTATAGCGGCTACTATACTATATATATAGGAATATAGACTTAAAATAAGCCCTCTCGGGATAAAAAAACTATAAACAAATTATATAATTATAATTATATAATAAAATAAAGAACGGATACTTATAAATAAATTGGACGGACGACTATAAATAAATAGAATAAATAACTATTTAGAAAATAGTTAAATAATAATAAATAGAGATATTATAAAAGATATATTTAAAAATAAAATTTATATATAATATAAATTTAAGCTAAGCTTAAAAATAGACTTCCTATAGCCTTTTTAATAATTAACTTAATATTAAATTTTATAATCGCTTTTAACTATATTTACTAAAAACCTTTTTTAATAAAATTATAATTAATAATTAAAGCTTTATTTACTTTATAATTTATAAATATAGTTTTAAAAAAGCTATTTATAATTATAATACTATTCATTTAGCCTTTATAGCCTTAACTTTTATTAATATATTTACTACGACTAGCTAGCCGTAATATATACTATTAATATACTTTTTATTATTTTAATTATTAATATTATACTATTTTTATATTTTTATTCCGCGCTAACTATATTAATTTATGAAAGTTTAAAAATTATAATAACATAGTTAAGTATTATAGCTAAGAAAAATATAAAAAGTAAGTTTTATATATTAAATAGGTTTAAATTTGACGTTTTTAAAAAGCTATCATCAAAATTAGTCTTTTTTTTAAATTAAGCTTTGTAAAAGATTTACCGAGCCCTAGCTATAGCTTTATAGCTAAGTTAGGCCTAGTTAGATACTTATTATACGGCTACCTTTATATAAATTTATTAAATAAAAGTGAATAAAGTATTATAGCTAGCTAGTTATTATAAATATATTAATAAAAGTTAAGGTTATAGTATTAAATAAATAGTATTATAATTATAAATAGCTTTTTAAAGCTATATTTATAAGTTATAAAATAAATAAAGCTTTAATAATTAATTATAATTTTATTAAAAAGGTTTTTTTAATAAAATAATTAAAAGTTATTATAAAATTTAATATTAAATTAATTATTAAAAAAGCTATAAAAAGTCTATTTTGAAGCCC